TATAGATTAGCTCCATTTACATATTTTCTTGTGCGTCATTCATGTTCGTTTTTAATGGATATATAAATGATGTTAGATCGGACCTCAAATAATTAAAATCTTGAAAGCTTTGCTATACATCGTACTTGCATCCGACGCTGGCCGCATAAAATTGCTTCGGCGAGGGCAAACTGGCTGCTTCAGGAGCCGCCAGTTTGAGGCTATTGATGTAGATACTAGTTTCGTTTATGATTAAATACCATAGTAATTCCTTAGCAAACGTGATTGCAAATATTAGCAAATATTTAAAATAAAATCTTAATTACAAAAAGTTTGTCACAGCAGCAGTGAGAAGCTTTCTGACATGTCATTACTAATATTTTATTTTTTATCAGTTACACCAATAAAAATTTTTATAATGAGAAAGAATTTCTCAGTCATTTTAAAAAACGAAGTTATATTTTATTTTTTAACTCTTTTTGGTAATTAAATGCCTGTTCTTTAATAAAGTTACAACATAGAAAGTTAAATTTAATTTTTATCAGCATATGATGAAAAAGTTAATTTCTTTAACGTATAAAAAGCAGTATTTTAGCAAAATATTGTTTAAATGATAGCCTACAGAAAATGAAATCTCACCGCTTCTTTTGCAAAATATGTGCAAGTGACAAGAAAATGCTTTATATAGTAATTATAATTTATTAAAAAACGAATACTAAATTTGAAACTGTCTGTCACAACATGATAAAATGAAGTAGGAGAAAAGGATCTGATACAAATTTCCATAAAATTAAATATGAAATTGATACAGCCTTTGCAAAAAAAATTCTCAGCAGATTGTTTTTCAGTAAAACTTATAAACTTAATTTAAATTTAAATTCAAAGTTGAAATATAATCAGGGAATTCGGTTAACCATGCAAAAGTGATATCTGACCCTAGAATATCTGGAAGTAGTATTTTCATGTATAAATACGTATTAATACATGAAATACTTTCATAAAGGTCACTAAATAGCTAACTGACAGAATAATTAGATGAAAATGAAAAAACTGTTATATATTAAAACCAAATAAATAAACATAACGTAAATACAGATAAAAAAATCTGAAAGATTTCGTATCTCAACGGTAGCCCAAAAAGGGGCATTAAAGTTTTTTACGTTCTCGCACTTTACCAATATGAGGTTACACTCACTCCTACTAACCTATTTTATGCAATTCAACAGCAAAATTACAAAAATTTTAAAAGCCTCATTGAAGTACATGTTTAGAATTCCCTATGCAACGTGAAGTGTCGGCATACATTTTTCTGTTTTTCTCAGTTCGCCATATCAATGATCCGTTTTCTTAGTAAGATGGCTTTTTAATTATTATTATTAGAGTTTTGTGTGTTTACTTTATTTATTAAATACCACGTTCTTGGAGCTTACGCCACATAAAATTCGATTCAACAGCAAAATCACACAAAATATTTAAAATTAGCATTTCTGATATATGCGCTGCAAACAAAAATGCTCGTTTGTTTCCGTGCAGTGCTCGCTTTGGAATCGTTCAGTTTGTTAATCAAGTGTTCATTAAAGTTTCATAAACTATAAAATCGATGATAAAACAAATTCGAAATTTAAAATCCGGTCTTCCAGACGCCCATGTTCGGCAAGAGGACTACGTTTTTCAAAATTTGACGGCTCTAGGTACCGTTGTATTCTCACAACCGGAGAAACATGAATACATTCATGAAAATTCTGCATTATTTAACTCATTTAAGTATAATACAGGGGCGATAATATTTGATGGCAACAATTTGAAAAGTGATATGCCGCTTACAGTGATTCAAAGCAAAATACCTTTGAAGACTACTATCTCATTCTGGACTAAAGTCCCTTTTGGGTTAATAAGATGGACTGTTTAAACAAACTAAACTATCAGTTCCTTGAAAATGGTTACAATTTCACAGAACGCATTTAAATAGCTGATTTGAATCAGCATCAGAATCTTAAAGCAAGATCTACACATATACACATTTATTCGCTGGAAAATGGGCTCTTTAGTAGTCAAGTAAATAGTAGTAATTTGATCTAGGTTCAAATTCTGGCGAACGGATTGGCTGCAGTGGGTTTTTCCTACGTGTAAATATGAGTCAGTTATTCTCTAGGAAGTCCTTCAGGAAACAATCCGCCGGGCAGAGAACCTAGAGAGTGCTTTGCCTATTAATCAAAGCTCTAAAATGAAAGAATATCTTTTCATTTTATTTTTAGTTCCATATGTGAAGTAAAAAAAGTATTCTAATGACAAAAAATTTCATAACTAGGTTTCAACAGAAATATCAGTTTTTGACCTCTTCATAATTCATTTTGATTATTTTTGAATGACATCTATACGCATAAACAAAATAAAGACTTTTTTATTCAAAAAGAGGATTTTAAAATGGATTCAAATAAACACGCATATAAAAAAAGAGGGAATGCAGTTTAAATTATGCTTAATTAATTCTGGAATTATCATTTAAGTTATTAGCTTGTTTTTGCGTAGAAACTGTCATTTTAACTGTAAAATATTTGTTTTAATTTTTTTAACTATAATTTGGAGTTTTGTGTTTTTCTATATTCTTCAAATTTTATGAAAAATTGAATTTTTAACTTTGCTTACGCAATAGAACTGATTAATAGTAGCCATGCGCATTACATAAGCGGGGCTGATCGCTCCGAAAACGTTTCTTTTTTTTTTGTTTATTTTTATACTCGTTTTCATTTATTACAGATTTGAATAGAACTTAGAAGGTAAGTCTTCAAATGATATATTTTGAGCACTTCTAGTTATAAATAAATGATGTAATTGGTAGTAACCTAGTGCCAAAGTGTAGTCTGGTAATAATATTATGTTTTTGAATAGAACATATGGTAATTTTTAAAATGATATATTTTTTTTGTGCCTATCTATAAATAAATGTGAGTAATGTGGCTAATAAATCTAGGCCGAGTGTCGCTATGGTAAACAAAATAGTGACTTAAAAGTGATGTTTCGTTAGGTTTATGTGCTATCCACGAAGTAGATTTAATCAAAACTCCTTCACTGTTAATTCGATATTTTTTAATGAAATGCAGGAAAATTGCGTATACTTTAATATTCCATACAAGGAAGTCATGGTGGTGTACACATGAAATTTTTTTTATTTATGCATAGAAGAAAATTTTAATAAATAAGAGAAAGAGACTAGATTGATAGATAAATCATTTATTCTCAAGTTTTGTACCAACTGGTTTGTTTTCATAATTCGTTAATTTTTAGTTTAAAATTAAAGTAAGTTAGTCAATTTAATTAACATGTTGAAACTTTTAAAAAATGTCATCTAAAACTGAAAGTTAATAAATTAGATTCAATATTAGTTTTTCATTCTATTTAATAGAAACGCACCAAGAACGTCGTATGAACCAACCTTTCAGATAGATACATGTCAGAGGAAAATAAATAAATTTTTTGTAACTACATATTATTATGTTACATATGTTTAGAAAATAATATAAGTTTTTCCATATTTACTGTTTTTTATAATTATGTTTATAATGTTTTAGAAAATAAATATAAATTTTTTCCATAGTTACATTATTATTATTATTATTGTTTATATATGTTTCGAAAGCGAAATTTAAAATTCATCAGTCCAAAGGGGCAATTTACCCAGAAGTGCTATTAATTTCGCTTTGGCATTTCGCGTCGTTCAGTATAAAACGGCGTTTCACTTTTCATAGTGTTACCACCAAATATTAGAGCCGTGCATTATATTTAAAGAAATTAAATTATGAAGACTATGCATGAATTATGTTTCTCGCTCTGTGAAAAAACAACGGTACCTAGTCACACCAAATTTTGAATAACGTAGTCTTCCACTCGAATGTGGGCATTTGGAAACCCAAATTTGGAATTTGTTTTATTATCTCATGTTTTGCAAAACTTTAAGATTTTTGTATTAACAAACGCAACGATTTCAAAGCGAGCATTGGCAAAACCTGTACGGAAAACAAAAAGACCTTTTTATATCCAGCAAGCCAGACTGTGTATCGTAAATTCTAAAGATATGCTCTTTTTTAATTATTTTGTGATACTGCTGTTGAACTGAATTTTATTTAAGTACGAAGAACATAATATTTAATAAATAAAGGTAACACACAAAACTTTAAAAACAAAACAAAAATCTAAAATCTGAAAAAGCTTTCACATTTTTTCCCCCTTTTCATGATTTTTTTCTTTTGTTTCACTTTTATAAATACCATTCTTGCTTTCTGTAAAATCTTACATATCTCAATAAAATTTTTTTAAGATTTAATTACGCCTTTTATGTAACACTGAGTTTTCTTTTTCAGACATATACTGTTTAATTGAAAAGCATTCGACAGTGTTGAAACATTTAACTGTATATGTTTTAAAATAAACCTTTCATTGTTCTGTTTATTAAAATTTTAAGGAAAGTAATCTGAAGTAGAATTTACTAAGTTTGCATATTAGAATTTTCAAATATATTTAAAAATTTATTAAGGTAAACTGAAGGAAGCTCTGTGAGCTATTGGATGCTATTACATTTAAACTGCTGCAATAAAATACGATCAATATATTTAATAATTAAATGAAGGGATCATTTATATTAAATATAAATTTAAAAGACATTTCAAATTTAACTTGATGAATATTATAAGCCCTAAAAGGGTCTTCATAGACCAGCTGTTATTCAAAAATAAAATAATTTATTTTCTGTATTTTCGGCTCATTCAAGCGATTATAGAAACTGTCATTTTAAAATAGAAATTAATCTTTTTCTTGCATCATCATCAATTCATATTTTTCTTTCATCATTTTCTTCTTAGCGGTCTTTTAAAAAAGGAACTTCCTTTCCCATTATTATAGCAGTCTTGTTTTGATAGGGCGAGATCACCGATGCCTGCAACCAATAGGAGCTGATCTGCTGGCACGTGAACAGCGCGTGAGAGCTCGAGATTTAAAAACCAAATCTCCGATCCGTCGTTCATATCTCACTTTTCCGCCAAACAAACGATCGCTCAGGGCTTAACGATCGGGAAGTGATAATTATATATGGCCGTCAACAGCAGGCTACGGTTTCGCGACAAATACACGACTTTCCGCAGACCAAAAGAGCCAGCAGATCCGATACCCAAGGAAGATTCTATAGAGGGTCTACTTTAATCAGTTCTTCAACAGAGCAAATATTTGGAAGATTTTTGCTTATCTAGAGAAGAAAAACTATGAAACTGCATCTGCGAATTTTAGCTTTGGTATTGGTATTCGCCGGGATCGGTTGCTTTCCTGCAGGGAAGTGGGATTTCGACTGTCCAGACGCGCATCTCATTCGTCCTTGCTCATGCTCTTCTTTCCCGCGCAAGATCGTCAGGTGCGAAGGGGTCAGGAATCTCGCAGCTGTTCGGAAGGCACTGGGACAACAGTTCTCAGAACCCTTGCCATGGTTGTACATAACCAACATCCATTCTTTTTCTATTCCTTATGGTGCTTTCAGAAATATTTCTGCCAGAAGACTGGTCTTGAATGGAAGCAACATAAGACGAATCCACGACGATGCGTTTGAGAATCAAGATTCTTTGGGATTGCTAGTTTTATCAGAAGACAGACTAACAGATGTACCGACCGAAGCCCTCAAGCGTTTACCTGGTCTACGCTCGCTCAGTTTAGCTGGGAATTTTCTTATGAAGCTTACTGATCACTCATTCGAAAATCTGGATAATTTGGTGACTCTCATACTTGTTGATAACAGATTGTCACAAATCGAACGTAATGCTTTTCCTAGACGTCTGCAGTCCTTATCCATAGCTAGGAATCACCTTTCAACCTTAAATGGAACTCTCAACTACTTAAATGAATTAGACACGCTTTATGCGTCAGGTAACAGACTCGTTTCTGTAAAAGGAGAGCTGGAAGGACTCACTCAACTCAGACATCTTTCGCTTGATAAAAATAAATTGAGAGATGTGGAAGACAGTTTCAAAGATTTGACATCCCTTCAAACACTCAGTTTGTCCTATAACAGATTGAAGAATATTGGAAAGGAATTGTATCACCTCAGGAATCTTCAGCATCTCAACCTCTCTTATAACTACATCACTGAATTAGACGAGGAACTTTTTAAACACCTAAATAAAATCCAGACTTTAGATCTTTCTGGAAACTATTTGAGAGACGTTTGTTCATCGCTGAAACATCTGAAAAATCTACGCGAACTTATTTTATCCGACACAAATTTGGACAGTTTGGATTTTGATTGCTTTAAAGGAATGCGAGATCTCGTATCTTTGGATCTTTCCCACAACCAATTAACTAACATTGATGCAATTACTGGGCATTCGTTCCCAAATCTGTTAACCCTCAATCTTCAAGATAACAAATTGTTGTCTTTGAAATACAGCCTCAAGAATCTGAAAGCTCTTGGAGAATTGGACATTAGTAACAATGGTTTCACTTCCATTAAAAGACATCATCTGATGCATAACAAGAGACTGTATTCGTTTAAAGTAGGAGGTAAGTTCTAAATATCTCTCTTCATTTTCTTTAAATGTTGCTGCAAATGAGCAAACTGTAGTTTTCATCTTAAGTCAACATCTTCATCAAGATTTTAATTAAGAATTTTGTGCATTTATTCCTTAATCGTCATTCTATGCAATTCTTTATAATAAAAATCATTTGATATGATTACAAAAATTATTCTTTAGAATTCATGTTGATTTCTTATTGATCTTCAAATAATGTTAATAATGTTAAATGCACGTCGAAATGCATAGCTAATATTTGAGTTTTTATAATACATATTTAAAAATACTATAGTCTAATTTCTATGTCGTAACATTTTAAAATGACATACTTTTATGAAAGGTAGTAATTTTTCCAGGCAAGCGATTTTTATGTAATAACAAATTATTTATTACTGCACGTGTATGACGTGGTTCGACCACAAGTCGAGTGGTTATGAACCCTGAATACTGGGAATTCCACCGGATTTCGATCCTAGGTGAATGGACTGGCTGCATGATTTGTTTCCGTGATTTACCCCATGTGTGACGTGAATATGTTAGTTACGTTAAGTTCATTCTCATAATAAATCCTTCACGGAGGCATCCCTCCCTTAGAAAATCCTCCACGAAAACATTCCTCTCATCAGGCACATAGCCTGTGCATGATTTTCCATAGTCGGATAACCAAATGTGTATTAAGTGAACATGTGTATGCAGCTTGACGTAAGTGTTGAGTATTTTTGATAGCTGCAAATATGAAGTATATCAAATTAATGAATGAAGTGTAAAGCTTCTTGAAAAATACTCACTAATCGGTTTATCTTCTAGCTCAATGCGCTGCAGACTTTGTCAACTCACAGAACTCATAGAATTGTAAGGTTTATTTTTTTTGGGGGGGGGGAAGCTCATTCCACCCTTAGAAAAAATATATCTTAATTTAATAGTTAGTAGATCAATATGGTATTTCATGCAAAGAAAATTTTAAATTATTGCATTTTTTAGTAAAATTACAGATTTTTTTTGTAAAAATCTGTAACATAAAATTAATGTAACTTATTAATTAATAGAATTAACTCCTGCTGCAGCTATCACCTACACTTGTATTATTTTAGTGACAGGAAGTGTGCTTGTTGTTTTGCCCAAATCGTCGAAATTTAGCTGTACTGCTAATTATCTTCAACCGCACTTCATAGTCTGCATTTAATTTATTTCTATATTTTTTGTTGCTACATACGTTGAGAAAGATTTTTCTTTTAAATACTTTGTTCCGAATGGCATTAAAATATTTATAGCTGGGTGATAAATTGCTAGTCATTGTGCATGAATCTACAGCTAAACATTTAGGAACTGCTCCTGCTTAAATTTAGATTTTTAGCATTGAGTTTGTTGATATAATCATAAGTTGGTCACGTTCCTTCTGATTTAACGTAGTACTCGAACGGAATATTTTATAAAATCATGCTTATTTTTTTCCCTCCTTCCGGGACATATTCTCTCATATTTTTTTTCAACTGAAAAAGAGGCTCCATTGTATAATTTTTAACACCGTCATCTAAATGCAGTTCATTTTCCATTAGATTTGGTTTGGTTTATGTAATTACGGTAAAGCATTCGAGGGCTATCTGCCCGAAGTGGGGATGCCTTCATGGAAGACTTTCTAAGGGAAAATGGCTCGTATATACATTACATATGAGTAAAACCACGGAAACGCCTAGGCAACCAGCCCGTTCGCCATTTTCCATAAGAAAACTGTTTAGTATTTGCACGTCCTTCATTCTCTTTGACATATTATGACCACATATTAAATCTTAAAACTAATCTGCAACTAAGTGTAGCTTTCTACGTTTTAGTTAATATACGCTAGTTAAGTGTTGTGAGTGCTTTATAATTTTCTTTTCGAATATTTATTTTGACTCATGGGACCATAGGGTTTGACTGGTGCAACCCGAAGGTTCCGTGGAAAACAGTTTGAAAACCACTTTTCTGATATAAATAATAATCTCAAGTTAATATTTTAATTATTTGACAAAGATATTTCACTCCAGTGGCCTTCATATATACAGAATAATAAAGATAATAATGCGGGATTTGTGTTCACCCGAGTATCATTTTAACTCAGTTTATGCAGTTTATTAATATTAATGCGTTCTTCATTGCAGATACTGGAAAATGGGGAAAATGATTCGCTTTTTTCTTTTTTTAACTTCTAATTATATAAAAAAACTAGTTGTGCATTCATTCATTCAAATATTATTCAAATCTAGAATAAAGGGGCACATTTCCTGTAGAAATTTATCCAATATAAGGTTTTCTTCTGTTTCACGACAGAACGTTATTTTTTTTCATTCAGTTAAATCTAATATCTGCAAAATGGTAATATGTATAAAAAAGATAGTATGTCAAAACGCTTTTATTAATCCCATCACAAAATATTAAATCGAGTAATTCAAATTTTAATGAAAAGAACAAAATAATTTTTATTAACGCACTTTTATTAATGTCTTACCGACACCGAATAATAATATAATATTATTGAGATGAGCCAAAATGTAAGTCACAATGAGCCGAAATGTAATATTTTCTTATGATTATTGTTTTTTTTTAAATGTACTGATTTCCAGTGCATTTATTATTAAGTTCTAACAAAATAATTTAATTGCATTTATCTAATAAGGCATATTAGTAATCTTAAAGACAAAATCAGTTCAAGAGTAAAAATATTTCTGAAATATTTCAAAAGGTAAAGAAAAGCTTTTCTTCTTTCTTCCTTAATTTAAAATGCTTACGAAGTACTGCTGCATTTTAATTAATGGTTTCCGTTTAACATATGATAAGGTATTTATTACCTTAAATTTGGCTTAAGAATGAAAGGTTTGTAAACGCTCTATGAAAAGGTCTAATTTTTATACACAAATTCGCCTTTCGTTCAGAAATTTTCATATCACCATACGAGACAAGCCATGAAAGTTTTATCACTGTTTTATTTTAGAAATAAGTTAAATATTTCTTTCAACCTATTTCACAAATTAAACACCGATTAATGAATTAAGATATTACTCTTGTTGCTCTGTGGCAGAGTTGCTGTTACTATAATTGACGCCCTGGGCGAAAATTATTTTGGCGCTTTTCTTTAAAAGCCCAAAGCAGTGAAATCGCCATTTCACAAAAAAAGCCTTTTGATGTTAAAAAAGAAAAGAAATCTTCATAATTTTGGGCTGGGCTCCTCTACATTAGACACCTTAGACGATAATCCTACCATACCCCCTAAAGCGCTAGAGCTCAGCAATTATTACTGAAAATAATACTTACTGTTCATTGCATCTTTTATAATTATTAGAATATGACACAACCTCCCTACTGTTTTTATGTTACTGCATTGCTGTATGTAGACATTCATTCAGTTTATGTAATTTATTTATTTATTTTTTTAATTTTTCCATCCGACTATCTCTTTATTTATTTATTTTATTTTATATTTCCTCATCCGCCTTTTCAACTATTAATTGTTATAAATTTCCATCAGTCATGTTCAGTCGCATACACTACCTTCAATATTTAAGTCATGTATTAATTTAGAAGTCAATGTATTTAACCGACAGACTCTTCTAAGTAACAGTTTCCTAGGCATTGTGTTACAGATAATTACAGTACGGCTATTACTCCGATATGTTAGCGCCTCAGAAGATCGGGCACCCATCTGTTGGCAGAAAAAAATTACTGTTCATTACTAATAAAATCTCTACTACATAATATACACTGTAAATGTTAGATTATAAGGTATTTCTCCCACCTTATTAGCGTGCCTTTGTGGTGTAGTGGTCTGCACGCTGGGCGCGTATTCCAGAGGTCCGAGGTTTGATTCCCGGCGAAGGCATAGCTTATTTTTCATCGTTCCTGCTATAAAAATATACCTAATGACTCTACAAGATGAATGAATATTTTTTCTAATTGCAATAAAATATAATAATATAATTTTTTAAAAATCTGAAAGCTTTCAGATTTTATATAACGCTCGAAGGCACTTTTTTTTTCATTTACACATACTTGTACGTTTCGAGAGCATTAGGGTTAACGCTTCTTTGGGCTAAAAATATTTAAACTCAGCATACCTTTATAATTTCTGATAGACAGTATCGCGCGTTGGAGATAAGAAAATATTTTATTTTGCAGAGTGCTAAAATCGTTGGGTCTCTTAATCAAAGTTTAAAAAATATGAAATAGATAATAAAATACATTCGGGAATTCAAGATTCAGGCTTCTTGGTGTCCATATTTGAATGGAGGCTACGTTATTAAAAATTTGATGGCTCTTGATATCTTTTTTTCTTCAAAATGCGAGAAAGATACATACATTCATGCAGATTCTTCATTATTTAATTTCTTTAAATATAATAGAGGGCAATAATATTTGGTGGCAAAAATTTGAAAAGAGATACAGCCGTTCAATAATAGCCTTCTTCGTAACTAATAGCCCTTTTGGGTTAACGCCCCTTTAGGCTAATAAATCTGAAAGAGTTCAGATTTTAACGGTCGTCCAAAAAGCTCTTTTAAAGTTTAATATGGTTTATCAGCAGATATTACCAATGGAAATGGTCCAGGTGAAATAGCGAAACAATTTATAGGATAATGAATGAATACACATTTAAGCTAACACGAAAACATTATATATATTCTATATATTTGTAAAGTGGAAAATGTGCAGTGCGTTCGTAATTCCATAAATGTAATTAATATTTTCGGTTAGAGGTTTCATAAATTAATGTATTTTTTATTTAAATCAATCTGATTAATAAGGACAAAAATAGTGTTCTCAAGAACTGCATCCGTTGCTTTTATATAGCTCAGTTTGTTAACGAATCATAGACAAATTACATTTAAAAGATAAATATCTTACATTTTCCCGAAAGGCAACAGACTCGAATGAAAAGTGAAACAGCGTGAAATCGTGTTTCGAGACTCACAGGCCTTTTAGACGGATAAAATTACATGCGAATACAAACGTAATGAAATT